GAAATTTTAAACCTACAAAAATGAGCTGATTTTGGAGTCAAAGTATACCCTGTATTACATGTGAGGTTGAGTTATAGGCAAGTATAATACAATGAAGAAAGCGGCCACATTCAACATGACCATTTGTCCAAATGGACTGACAGTCAAACAATAAAAAAAAGTGTGGCGTGCCTTCTCTGTCACACTGAAACATTTGACTCAATTTCCTTTTTCAAGCTTTTATCCTGCCAAAATTCATAAAACTCTTTGAGGAGGTAGCGGACAGCAGTAGACCAAAGGCAATGTTGCTGCACATTTTGAATCATCATTCACACATCAGAAACAGGGATTAGCATAATATCTTATAATAGCGCTGCATGTTGTTGCCTGTTTTTTTTAAAGTTTCAGCTTTATAAAGAACATTGAATTGAAAAATCCTGGAGTTACTCCTCTTTTTTAAAGTACCCAAAAATAATTAAGGGCAGAAAATATAGTGTCATGAGTCTCAACACTGAGAGCATATACAGAAAATGACCACCAAAATATTGGGCTTTAGTTTTAGACACCTTCACCAAGATTTATACAGTCAATGTATCAGTACACTCAAGACAATCCAAATTCTTCAGTCAAGTGTGATAACAGAAAAGCAACTCTTGTGCAAGAAACAAACATGAACTTTGAAAGTCGATGCAACATTTACTCCTCAGGGTCAACAGTTAGGGTTCCTTCACCACCCCGTACCTCATCTCCCTTCCTCTCGTAGTTATTAGCTCTGTAAATCATATGAAAAGTAGGAAAAGACCACCTCTTTAGGGCTAACATATTATAATACCTTTGAATCAATTTTCTACAACTTCAGTCTTACTTTGATTACCAACACAACAAATACCAAAAAAAAGGGGGAAATTTCATATTGCTCATGACTGATAACATCATCCTGTTCCTGATGAATAACACACTGATAAGATTTGCAAAGAATGAAAAGGTTTTAAACCCAGAGGTACATAAAAAAACAACAACAACTGAGCGGATAGGACACACCCAAAACATGAAATCAATAATACAATTTTTAGGAAAAATGTAATAAACAATATCACCACTCTAGTTTGTTTAAACTTTGCAATCCCCCAATAAATATATTCAATGACTCTAAAACAACATTTGCGTGATGGAAAGGGCTCTAAATCTATGAATATAAAATAATATTATTCTGTGGTATGAATGTATTCGGTCCATCTACATAAAAAAGAGTGCACTAAGTAAGTCTGGTGTGCTGATTCAAGATGCTTTCTCCTTCAAAACATTTTGTCACATCATTATTCTTTTGCAGGAAGAGAAACAGTTTAAGCAACCAACATTTTTCAGTCCTTATTCATTTCCAAAGTAAAGGTTTTGTACATGCCATCATTTCAAAAGGTGGTATCAAATGAAAACAGGAGTTGGGTCGGGATAAGAGGAACAAGTATAAGCACCCTTGGAACTGATAAGTGCACGTTGTATTATTAAAAAGCGCACAGAGCACTTTCCGAGAGGAAATGCGTTGCATAAATAAAATCTATCATTATCATTATCACATATTATCTTCTTTTTATATTCATCTTATTGTTGTTGTTATTATTATAATTAATTATTATTATCATTATACAGTCAAACCCCGTTGTGCCGCCTACCTTTTGGGACGAGCATAAAGTTGGCGGTACAGCAGAGTTGGCAGCAGTATAACGGGATAGCACCGATTGCCATCTTGAATAGTGGTAGAGACTAGATAGAGACAAATGGTGGATAGCCTTGACTAATCAAGATGATAGAGCTGTATTGTGTGATTGCCAGGCGCAGGGGGAAAAAGAGTAGTAACTGACTTCATGTACAGCTCAAGCTGATCTAGATTTAAATTCAACATCTGAAGCGAATCTGAAACTAGGTTATTATATATGTCAATGATCCTACGGACTTATACTCATCAGTCCAGTCTTCTGCTCACCTAAGACCTTTCGGTCATCAGGTAGATCTGGTGATGCCAAACATTTTGCCAACAGGCCAAGGTGGCGGATTTCCTTTAAAGTTTCTCCTTGTGATTTTAAAAGTTCATTCCATCTTTTAAACAAAATATAGATCAAAATCCAAAAATAGTAGTATTTTCATAATCAGAGAAAATTAGGAGTAAATCATTGACAAATTGAAATGCAAGGAATAGGTCGAACTTGCTGAGACGTGCGTGGGAAAGAGATTATCAAGCAAGCACAAAGTGAGTGCCGTGCGCCGTGTGTAGTGTGTACCTCTGGTGGCACATACGCTTGCGTACAAAGGGAAAAATTCACATTAATTTAATACAGACTGTACAACTCTGACAGTTGGCATATGGTGGATGGCAGAGTATTTAAGCGCAAATGCTATGTTTATATATTTAAGCATTGTACACTGGCGAAAACTGAGGGTAAGCACGGCTGGCAGTACAGTGGGGGTGGGGGGGGGGGGGGGACGGTACAAAGAGGTTTGGCTGTATCATTATTATTATTATAATTATTATAATTATTATTATACATTAATATTATGATCATCATATGATGCACACATCTGCAGATACACAACAGTACAAGTTCTGAAATTGACTAAAGACTGAATTAGACGCCTGAATTAGCTGCTCAAAAGGGAATTGTACGTGGAAAAAGTCTGTGTTACTCAGGTCAGGGTAAATGTAATGCAGACACTTCTGGACACTTCAATATAAGAAAAGACCTCTAACTGACTTTGAACGCCTGACAGCTGCTCAATAGGTACAAAAAGACATTAGAAATGAACATCTGTAATGGTTGTAATGGTAAAATTACAGTGGAAACCATATATAACAGGCCCGGTAATAACAGGAAACCGGTATAATAGCAGGGATTTTTTAAATCTCCATTTTTTCCTACTCTTTGTCTCTATTAAAAGTTATCGGCTTATCGGCAAAAACAGGGCCTCATCGGAGCCTAATCGGTTATAGCAGGGACAAAGGCTCGTTAACAATGTGTAAAAAGTAAGGAAAGAGAAAGAGAGAGTGAGAGAGTGAGTGAGAGAGTGAGTGAGTGAGTGAGAGAGAGAGAGAGAGAGAGAGAGAGAGAGAGAGAGAGAGAGAGAGAGAGGAGAGAGAGAGAGAGACAGTGAGAGACACAGAGAAAGAGAGAGACAGAGAGAGAGAGACAGAGATAGAGGCAGAGAGAGAGAGAGCGAGAGAGAGAGAGAGGGAGAGAGAGAGAGAGAGAGAGAGATGCAGTGCAGGGATGGAGCAAGCCCACGCAAGCCATGCCACTGCAAGCACACGCAGCGGGTGAAGCAAGAGAGGGCAGCCGTGTGCTGCAGACTTCGATCTAGCCTAAGCCTAGCTACATGCATGCGTAATGTGTCATGCACAGGCCTGCCACATGGCCAAAACCCCTGTTCGTGGGTACTTGTGGCTAGGGAAACTACCCATGAACAAATACAGCTGGATTAGTCCACAACTGCTTACTTCCCTTGCATTTCTGATTTGACAGGGATCTGATACAAAAGGACTTTTTCTCTGGTTCCACCATCCCTGTTAAATCAGGTTTCCACTGTATCAACCACCTAACAACATTTTAAAAAATACATTTTACGAGTTTTGACCAAAAAGATCTTCATTAGGCCTACATCTCAAATTTTCCTTTGACATAAAACACTTACTTTTGTGCACATCTCATAGTGTAAGGGTAAAAATGTTGAGTCTACACATAACATTATATCAATAACTATATCACATTGTAACATACCCAGTCCCAAGTTTCACGGCCAGTAGACCTACTTTTTTTTCTTCGACCACAAAATACTTAATTATAACTCTCTTTCTCTCTCTCTCTCTCTCTCTCTCTCTCTAAATATATATATTATATTATATATATATATATATATATATATATATATATATATATATATATATATATATATATATATATATAATTATAGTACAGTCAACCTGCTAAAACAGAAACCAGTGTAAGATGGAAACCTGTCATTACGAAATCTCCCTGCTCCCCCCTTGATAAATTCCTTTATAATTACTTCTACAAGATGGAAATCGGTCAAACGCGGAAGCAGAAAAAGAAATTCCTTTCCTTTGGATGGTTTTTACCTGTCTCAGACAGAAAATCTTTTATGTTTTGCTCACTCAGTTTTGATTTGAAACAAAACTATCAGATTTGGATCCATTGTTTCTAACTTCTAAGCTTTACACCAAGGTAAGGTTAGGGAGCAGGGGTGCGACTTGAGGGTAGATGTTACCCCATCCGTGTGAGCCCTGACGCGTGGAGATAATCAGGGTGGTCAGAGACTAGAACGGTAACATTAGCTGGACGAATGGCTGCGACCTTGATTCTACGGTCAGAAGAGAAGAAAGTTCCTTGAATTGTAGCTATATGCACGATATGAGTGACATTGGCTGAACGTGCTTATTACACTGATGAGTGGGAAACAAAGGAGATGTCAAATCGTTTCTGTTTTTAATGCGTCAAACAGTGGTCCTATTAAATGCAAGTACTGTGGCGTAACTGTGGCGTAACTGTGGCGTAACTGTGGCGTAACTGTGGCTATGGATAAGTAGAACTGACGTATGCCATTATTGGAGAGGCTAGGATAGCTTTTGAGAGGTGAGAAGTTTTGACCACTACTTGCCGACAGGACAAGTGACCCTCGATCCCACCGGTGGGCCTCTGGAACCCCCCCCTCTCTCTCTCTCCCTATATGAACAAAATGTTTATGTGATGACAATCACAACAACAAATCAAGGATGTCTACCATTTTCAAGGCTCAATTGTTACATAAATTTAGTTTTCCTTCTAGTACTTCAAATAAATAAAAGAGATATCTCTGGTTCTTAAAGCAGACATAAGCTGTCATTTTCCTGCTTGTACATTGCTATTGCTTAAAGTCCATATAAGTAGAAGATGTGGATTAACTTTCTCAGACCAACTTTTCCCTTCTGGTCCCCCAGGAAAGAAAACTGAAAGAAAAAACCCCCGACAGATACCGGTACCAAATTGATGGCATAAAAGTTTTATGAAATACTTCCTTTGTGTATCACAGAACAGCAGTCTCATCAATTCTTGCAGGGCTGTCCATAAATCAAACTAAAAGTCTCAGAACTTCAATTTGAAAAACAGTAAAGAAATAATCTATGTATTTTTGTACAAGCTTTAGAGGTATAAAAAAATCTCACAACTTCAGGGAATGAGCTAAGTTCAATTAAGCAGCTGCACTTTCAGCGATTGTTTTTGAGAAGTTGACATGTGGAGGGCTACGGAGTAGTAACGCTCTCTGTGGTGAGTGCTGTGATTGACTGCACTGACGGTTCTCCGAGTTCCCTCTCGTAGGCTGCCAGAGCCTGGTGAACAAAGTCGTACTGCTCGTGTGTTTGGATCATCCCACCCCTGGCGAGAAAAACAGAATGCAATGTGTTTTTGCAACAATAAAAAGTAACACTTCCCTTGTGCAGAGATGCATGACTGCTCCAGGCCCTTCATGACAAAGGTATATTATATGTGAGGCATCGTGGTGAAATCAGGCGCTCATCAAAATTTAACGATTTCAAAGTAAAAGTAAGAGGCAGGCTACTCTCACCTCCTTCAATCGCAAGTATCTCAACTTCAATTCAAGACAGATGGGTATTTTTTTTCATAGAAAGAAAGGCAAATGAATAAGCTTTAGGATGATACCAATAACTCCACATGCCCAAAAATTGATGAGTGTCTGATTCCACCACGTCGTGACACACACACATTATAATATATATATATATATATATATATATATATATATATAAAACATAGACATACAGACGAACCTGCCATGACGGCCACCTGTTTAATACGGCCACCTGTAAAAACAGTCACCTTGCGTTTTTTCTGTATAATGTAACTGTGTAAAACGGTCACCTGTCCAATGCAGCCGCGACAACCTTATCTTATTAACCCACTGTCAAATCTACCTGCCTCAGGCGGCCAGGCGTGCTCACTCATTGCTCAACGCTTTGTCATAAATTTTGAATCGTCCCCTCATGCTGTGGACGGGCTGTCATAATTCATTAACCTGTCGTTATTGTAAGTCCCCCAGTGAATGTTTACCCAAGTTGACCAAAGGGTATGCCTAACAATAAATTTTCAACTGCTGGTGAGGGAAGCGTGTGATTCATCATAAACTATAAGCCCCACCCACAACTCATGTACAAATCGCGTGTGATGTGACAGGTCCTGTTTTGTTTTCCTAATCTCTAACAAAGTAAAAATGGACGTTGACGTGAACTTGCGACAGAAGCACCGCTCGTTCTCCGAGTGGTGGCGACCCGTGCGTTTGTTTTACGATGGCACTAGGTCTTCATCGCCTTATTTACATAATAATGTTTCGTTTAGCTTACCCTTGCAAAAAACCAGCAACAAAAAGAACGCTTACCGAAAAGCAAACCAACAAAACAACCCCAAAAACACTTTTTACGCCACATTCCCCCTTTTTTTTCTCCAGAGAATACAAAAACCTTTTTGAATTAGCCTTATGTCAGTCTGAAGTCAGAGACCAACCTCGATTTGGACCTCAGAATGAGAACATTATTTGTTTTCTTCATTTTGACCAGTCCTGCTTTATATGAACACCTGTGTTATACAATAAATGTACTTATATGGCCATTTTTCTCCTTGACAACGAGTAGCCGTTTTACACAGGTTTGACTGTATAATATATATATATATATATATATATATATATATATAGGCCTATTTATATACAGTGGAGTCCGTTTAAACTTAAATCTATGGGACAACCAGATTTTCTTCAGTTTAGCTGTGTTTTTGCTTTAGAGAGATTGCTGAAAAAGCAAGGAAAAATTCGATTGGGGATTCCGTTTTCTCTCAGTTTACTGCTGTTTTTAGATTAACTCTCTTTGGTTCTCACTGGATTCCACATCGGTGTGTTCTGATTACTTTCCTTCTCCATGAGATGGTACATTTAGACCTAAACTAAATGTTTCCACATTCTCATCCTCATTCACCTAATTCATATTGTTTAGTGTCTTTAGGCCATTCCCAAAGGGGGGATATTAACGTATAACATGTTCTTATGCAATGTAAATGGGCTGATTTATCAATGTCATGCTCATACTGTGCCGGAACAACATAAGGGGAACTGCACATGCTGCTTTTTCTTTCCTCATCCTTACTTTCGTCATTTTTTCCTCTACTTCTTTTGTATGTTTGTCACTCTCTTGTGAACTGCTATTTCCGGGGTGCCTTGACAGTCGAAACAGACTTTGTGCTGTTGAAGCTAGAGATGTCAGCAAAGTAAGCCTGAGTCCGCATTTGGACTTCTCTGCTGACATCCCACCCCTTATGCAGTTGCGAGCGCCGTAAAACCCTACTAAAACTAATACATATTTAAGAAGGTAGGCTGTTTTGACCATGTCTGTTGGGGCCAATCAGGGCTTTGAGATACATGTACAGTAGAACACAGTTATAGCGGGACTTTTGATTCCAGAAGAAAAATCCCGCTCTAGGCGAGTTCCCATTATAGAAATGCAAAGGGGAAATTACTGAAAGATTTCTAAAATTCCACATGACTACCTCCCTTTCATATCAATAAAATTTGCACTTTAGATCAGTCTTCCTTTTCTTGTCAATTATGTCAACTCGTTGGTTATCTCGGCCTTTAATTCGAGTGAGAGGCATTTCCTTTTGTCTTTGTTGGAAGCCATCTTCTCCTCGGTCTTGTTGCTTGTGCTGTCTATCGAACCGTCAGGCCTACTGTAAAACTTGTGAAGTGGGTGTGTGCGTATGCCTAAGAGCATCAACGACCGCAACTCAATGAATCAGGAATCCCAAACTACACGCTCTCCACTTCTTTTACTTTTTGGCCTAGCCTAGGCCTAGGGCTATGGCCTATATGCTCTCATACAGAGTGTCTAAGCTATGGCGCATCACTTTTGGCTTTGGGGTGGCTCACGAAATGCGTCTCTCCACTCCATCTCTCTCTGCCGCCTGCCCCACATAATTCATCACTGGACTGGCCAATCACAACGCCGCACCACTG